GGGGCGGTTTCCACTGCTGCATGCCACTCATCCAGGAGCCGCTCATCCGGTGCCCACCCACTCATCTGGTGACTCCGACCGCTGCTCCCACCACTCATTTGGGAGGGCATGTGCCCCCAGATCTGCGCAGGGTGGGGCAGGGTGGGCCCAGGGCTGTGCCAAGCTCCTTCCGGCGGAGCAGGGCTACAGTGAATTTTGGGGTGGCTGCAGTCCCCCCAACCCGTAGCTCCCTCCCACTGCCACACACCCCGGACACAGCCCCAACCCACTGGAAAGAGCCTGCCCCGCCCTGCGCAGATCCAGAGGCACATGCCCCCCATGCCCGGATTATCCACAACTATTACTTCAGTCCCCAGGGTCTAATCTTCGGGTATGAAATCTCAATGTTCCTCTGTACTGACAATGCCATTCAACTTTATGTGAACACCACACTTTTATTACCACATTCCTACTTTTTTTTTTTTTTTTTAAACTAAATAGCAACTTTATTAAAAAATAAAACTACAAATAGTAAGCTTTAATAGTGTCACATGCTATATCCAGTTTCAGCCTCATTTTCATTACCAGGTTATGAATACACCAAAAAAAAAAAACCAACCAAAAACAAAACAACCAAAAAAAAAAACCACCCCAAAATCCTATATTTTGCATGTGTCCAGGGTAATTTTTCCACTGATGCTCGTTACTCTTCTGTATAATTATAGCACAGTAACAGAATGTGCACACTGCTGCAAATGCATAACAAAACAACTTACCTGCTTTTCCTTTCAACGAGAATAGCTACATAGGAAGCTGGTAAAGCAGCACCAAAGCCTGGAGTCCAAAAGTAGAATTTTCCAAGTATCCTCCTGGAAATTAATTATATATTTATCACATTAAATGCCAAAGCAATAGAAAAGTTGGTGTCTAATGATGCATTATAAGATTGCATTCATAAACATTTTCTGTTATATGCATATTGCCCCTTGAATTATTCTGAAATGCAAACACAGACCCCAAGCCTTTGATAAACAGTAACAACCCTTCTTATGGTATCAGTTTTGCACCCATTTCATTTAAGCATTTTTATTCTAAAGCACAAAGTACTCTAAACCGAATGATAAGTTAAAGATATAAATGATCATATTTTCTCACATACCACTGGCCTCCAATTAAGAAATTCACTTTGCTTTTTTGGGGAGGAGGAATGAAGAACAAAAGTTCTTTCCTTGAAAACACCAATCAGTATTTTTGCAGGGCAATAAGGGGATTGAAATTGAAAGGGGAGTTCAGGCACAAAAACCCTTCTTATGAAGCCAAACGCTCAGGCAGCATTGTCTGCCGAGTCTGCCAACAGCCCACCCAGAGGAGCCAGCAGACAGTTCAGCTTAGCCAGCAAGCACCGACTGAGCCAGCTGAGGGCTGGATCCTCTAGAACTTTACTGCCTGGAGCTTGTTCTCAAGCTGATCGAGCCTTCAGTTGACTCAATAGGGACCATCAAGAAGAGGGATCAGGCAGCTCAGCTCCCACATGACTGAGCTCTCTCCATTTCCTTGTTTAAAGGGATGTACCATGATTTCCAATAGCTAACTTTTTTGGGAGTAGGGGAATGTGCATTTTGTATGCAAGTAAAAACAGTTGATACAGAACTACCCAAAAAGTTAGTTAGTTTCTAAGCTGCTTCAAGAAGATTCAGGCATGTGAACAAGATGATGGGTCAAGAAATGTAAATTACACCATGTACCGGAAGGAGAGGAAACTTATCTTCAGATTTCATCGAATTGTTTACAATAACCCAAAAAACAATATAAACTGGGATTAGAAACTAGAAGAGAAATCTTGCCTCTATTATAAAGTGAATAGTAAAGCTCCCATTGACTTCAGTAAGGCCAGGTTTCATCTGAAGAGTACAATTTCACCTGAAGAATCATAAATTCATTGCACATTACTAACAGCTTCCCAAAAAATTATTTTTATTACAAAACTAAAAATTGTTAACAGTAGACAAGTAGGCTTTTAGGAAAAAAAAATTAAATGTCTCATTGTGAGAAAAGAGGAGAACAGAGTACATATCCAGTAAACACAACCTATGGCAGCAGCTCAATTTTTTAGCCTAAGTTTTTCTGACCATGTGAATCTGCAGATCACTTGCAGCCAAATCACAAGGGCAAACATTCTTGAAAGAACGGGTCGGGACTGTGTACCAAAGTAATAAAAGTGTATACACATTGTTTTAAAACAGCAATAACAACTTATTCAGCACTAAGTGGTTTCATTTGAGTTTGTCCCCCTCAAACAGGGCAAAAACATGACAAACTGTTAGGCTAGAAAAATAAATTAAACTGTGCCTGAGAAAAGACAACATAAAACACAAAAAAAAAGAAAAAAAAAATCAAGTAAAATTATCCACAACACCTGGAGTAGCTCAGTTTCACTCCTGTCCTAAAAAGGCAAACGACTGGTGTCATTCTATAGCTTTGTCCTCATTTTTCCACAAAAGCATAGCATTATTAGTAAGTACTACCAGCTTAAGTTTTTAAGTGAAAAGAGAGCCAGTGAATCAGGAACAAGTGATGTAATGGTAATTATGCACACTCTACATTCCCACAGCTGCAAAAGAGTAATTTCACAGGACAGCAATGCCAAATGCTGCAACAGCTAAAAGATCCTTACGAGGACTTTTCTGGAACTCAATTACTGTATGAAGTTTCATAGAAGTCATTTTAAAAATTTGAACTGGTATGAATACATCTTACTATATACACCTGCTGAAACAACAGAACAAGAATCTTTCTAGTGGGAAAAGAAAGTGGAATCTGTTATTTCTGCACGATTTCAAATCTGTTTGCTAATAGCTATATTGTCGATTAGAAAAAAGCCATACACTTTTTTCTTAATGCAACCATCTGAAAATTCTAATTCTTGCCATAGATACATTGTAATATACATATATATACACACACACAAACACACACACACACACACAAATATACTTTCACCCATGTGTATATATGTAAATAATGTTTTTAATTAGCAGATTAGTGCTGGGTAGTATATGCTGATAATATTAAACGAAGGATTTAGGAACCTGGATTCTGTTTCAGAGTCTTACTGAAAAATTGTAGACAAACCTTACCTTATACACAAATTGCACCAATTAAACTGGTCCAAACTCCTGTGCCGACACATTTATATTAGTTGATACGTTTGCTTACCCTGTAGACTAAAGCTGCATAAGCATACTTACATGGGAGTTTGCTCTGGCTTAAACTACAGTTATTTTTAACAGATTTAGTTAAATAATGCAACTGCATTAAGTATCCAAGTCACTTCTGAAATTGGATTCAGGTCCTTTTGAATATTTTACCCACACTGACTTACTGTGCATAACTGCAGCAACCGCAAGCACACTAGCTACTCCAGGAGGCTACCACCTAAGCCACAAGCCATATAGCCATGTCCACAAGGCACCACAGGTGGGTGGCAGTCACAATTAGCCTGTCTTCACGCCACTTACTATGGACATAGCTACACAGCTTCCCATTTAGAGGCAAGACATCATGTCTGAGGGATCCACTGCTTAGCGTGGTTAGTTTTCTGTGTAGGCACAGCCTCCCTCTAGCGCACAGATTCCCCATATGTAAAATGGGAAAAATATTTTCAAACCTTTCAAATATTTACTACCATCTCTGAAAGAGCTAACGGCGCTCTAGAGGCAAAGTATTATCATGTCAAAAAAACCCAGTCATTTCTTATCTTCAGGAAGTGGAACTTCAGACATGTTACAAGGATCTCACTTCTCATACTCCACACCAAGCCTGTGTGAAGCTAAAAGTATTCACTTCAGATTCAGCCATTCGGAGGGAGAGTGATTCGAATCACTGTCCCGATTTGATTTGTCTGAACCTGAATATTTGGTGCTGAATCTTACTCAGTCATAGACTATAAAGGCAGGCAGTGCTGGCGGGAGCAACTGAGGGAGCAGCCGGATGGCAGCCCTGGGAAAAGGTGGAGCTCATCTGGCTGCTGGCAGCCCCAGGAGAAGCCAAAGGGCCTGAAGGGATCAAACCAGGAGCTGGGGGGCAGTCCCTATTCATTCCCTCAGCCCCCGATCATTCCCCCCAGCTTCAGTTTGATCCCCCACCTCCCCAATCATTTCCCCCCAGCTCCCGTGGCCTCTCCTGGAGCTTCCAGCACTACCTGCCTCGCCCTGGCAGGGGGACAGCCAGAAGAGCAGGCAAGGGAACCACGACTTGACCCAGCAGCCCCAGGAGAAGCCACAGGGCCTGGGGGAATGAACAGGGGCTTCCCCCCAGCTCCCGGTTAGATTCCCCAGCTCCCAGTTTGATTCCCCCAGCTCCCGCAGCTTCTCCCAGGGCTGCTAGCACTGCCTGCCTCTCCCCAGCAGGGGGGCAGTGGGGGAACCGTGGTTTCTCCCAGGGCTACTGGCTCAAGCCAGGGCCCGGGGCAGCTGGCTCAAGCTGGCTGCTCCCCCAGCTGCTCCCTGCCTATAGCCTGTCTGTACAGTCTATGGTCGAATCTCCAAATTTCTCTGAATAGATTCAGAGGCTTCCAATTCGAGTTGGAGAGATTAATGGGTCTTTCAAGTTGATTCAGATTTGGAGATTCAGCCGCTGAATCTCCTCCAAACAGAATCAGCTACCAAAGCTTCGCACAGCCCTACTCCACACCCTTTTAAGATGCAGACAAATACTTCCCAAGGACAGAAGAGAAGTACATGAGAACAAGCCAAACTCCCTACTATTTGGTCTAATAAAAGATATCACCTCTACCATAAGTTCTGATTGCAAAGTCCCTACTGGCACTTAGACACAAAGCTGTCATCTTAAACTCAAATTTTCCAATCAGCTCCTGATTAAGCAGGAAGTGAAATTTCCCAGCTAAAATAAGCTGATCATTAAAACTCAAATGGTTGGGAAAAAATTGTCCTAAAAAGTAAATAAAAACAGCCAGTTTGCCAACTTGAGCGGAGTTTGTTCCAAACCCTGAAGGGAGGAGACTGAGTGAATTGTAGATCCTCAAAATGATATCAGAAAAGCACAAGGGAAACAATTTTCAAAAAAGTGCCATATGTGCAATATTTGCATTCTTAATGTCCTATTCCCCATCCCCCCACACACCCCCACCTTGGCCCCTGCCCTGCAAAAAAGGAGATACTAACCAACTGAAACTTTCCTTTCTTGGAGTAATGAGGTGTACAGATCTATGATACTGGGTCCCTATTCTATGCAGCCTTTGAAGGAGATAAAAATCTGTCAATCAGTGACAAGAGGCATGGTTCTCCTCTTCAAAACTATCAGCAACTACAGGTGTGGGCCGCTGCAGGGGTCTGGCTGCTCTTCCTGTTTGAAAAGTGAACATCAGTTTACTTGCTTATTGGTTCAATCTATGCAGTTTAGAGAAACCTACAAAGATTGAATCGATTCAGCTTTGAGCTTTTTGACCGTCTGTACTTTAACTGCTGTTTAAACAGTAAGAAAAATTAAACTTTAACATTAATCAGAACAAACTTCCTGAAAGGCAAGGAACTGAGTTAATTACTAACTTTGAATGTCAAGTAATAATCTCATGCTTGATGCCCCATTCAGGGTAGATGGGACCTATACAACATAATTTTCCAAGAAAGTACATTTGCTCCTAAAACACAGTTAAGTGTTCATCTTAATCACAATGAGGTCCATAAAAACTCTGAGAATCCATTTTTACAGTAGTTGTCCCTCAGAGGAAGGAACTAAATATAGTTATGTCCAGATGAAAGAGTAAAACCACCTTAAAAATCACTGGAATCTGAAGACAGTGACTGGAGACCCAGCTTGTAGACAGTAGAAAATATAACACAGTAACACA